AAAATTAAGGTGTCACTGGAGGAATCTGAGTGTCTGGTGGCTGCAGAGGACATGTACTTCAATTCCGCCAGCCACTGCAACAATCACTTTCAAATGTAGCCCTGACTAGTTTCATACATTCTACAATATAGGCTTAGAAAAGATAGAGCATGATCATCTACAAAAAAAATCATAAAATAAATAATTAGCTGACATAAGAAATCTGATAGAAGCATCTGTGGAACATAAATTTTGAAATAATTTGCATAAATACTTTGAAGTATTTACACTTGATTCTGTAGTTGGTCTATGTGTAACTTTATAAGAAATTACCAACATGGGCTTATTTTTAATAACTAACACTTTATTAATATCATGCTTGTGAATGTAACAAAGACCACAGAGTAGGTTCTATTAGAACTAGTGATAAAAAAGTCAACTTTGCAAAATACTTAGAGAGATTTATTCTGAACCAAATGTGAGGACCATGCCCTGTGACACAGCCCCAGGAGATCTTGAGAATATGTGCTCAAAGTAGTTTGATTGCAGATTAAATTTAGTAACATCAATCCATACCTGTGAGATATATGTTGATTTGGTCCATAAAGACAAAAGAACTAGAAGTGACGCAGTGTTGGGAGGGGATTACAGCTTACAGGTGAATTAAAAGATTTTCTGATTGGCAGTTGATTGAAAGATTTGAAGTTTTATCTAAAGACGTGAAATCAGTAGAAAAAAAAATGACTGGGTTAAGATAACGGGTTTTGGAGAAGAAGATTCATATTATGTGGATAAAGTCTCTTATGCAGCCATACTTACTGACAATAGATGGAAAGTGTTTTCTGTTAAGACAGTTAAAAGATGCTAGACTCTCAACTAATCTCCTCATTATAACACAAAGACCTGGAAAGGAAAGAAGATTCACTACAGAATGTAAATTTCTCTCACAAAAGATAACTGTGCAGGGAAATTTTAAAATATGTCAAAGAAATAAATTTTAGGCTAAAAGCCTTTGATTCTTTTCAAGGACTGCTCTCTGTCATATGATGCTATTCCTGAGTCACGTTGGAATTTGCTATCTTACTGCTACCAAGAATCTGTTTTCTGAGCTTTGAGTTCTCTGTTTTCATGAAAATGCTGGTTAGTCCTAGTCAGGGATATCAGAAAATATTTACTGACATAATCACATTGAAGTTGAGACTTGAAAGATGGTCTCAGATTCTTCCCTGCAAACCTTTTCTCCTGACACTAGAAGAAGAAAACTTACCAGAAACAATTGTTAACATTTCTTCTATGTTCAAAATTGCCACCCATTAGGAAAATAATTAAACTTGCAAGACTTATCTTTAGAAACAAGTAGTCCTGTTGACTTCTAAAGTCCTTTACAAAATCTTTATGTGGTACATGTGATATTTTGATAAAAGAATATTATATGCGTATCTGGATAACTGGGATGCCCTTCATTTCAATCACTAATTATTTCTTTGAGTTAAGAACATTCTAAATCTTCTCTTCTAGTTATTCTGAAATATATACTAAATTATCAACTGCAGTTGTCTATGTGCCATTTCAGCATTCCCTTCCCACCAGCAAGGTGTGAAAACTCCTATTTTTCAACTTCCTCATCACCATTTGGTACTGTCTATATTGTGTATTTTATCCATTCTATTACATTGGTAGGATTTTTCAATATTAAAATTACATTTACCTAATGAAAACCCAGTTGATCACTTTGTAATATTTATTTTTAGGTGCAGTTTCTATTCAGGTCTTTGCCCATTTTAAAATTAAATTGTGTGGTTTTGTTGTTCATTTGTAAGGTAATTTGTGTATTTGTAATAAAAGTCCTTTTCCAAGTATTTGATTTGCAAGCAAATTCTCCAAATCTATGGCTTATTTTTTCACACTCAGAAGGGGTTCATTTTCAAAGGCCTAGGTTAGTTTATTCATCTATGAAAAGAGGATATTTGGCCAGGCGTGGTGGCTCATGCCTGTAATCCTGACACTTTGGGAGGCTGAGGTGGGTGGATCACCTATGGTCAGGAGTTCGAGACCAACCCGGCCAACATGGTGAAACCCCACGTCTACTAAAAATACATAAATTAGCCAGGCATGGCAGCGGGTGCCTGTAATCTCAGCTACTTGGGGGGCTGAGGCAGGAGAATTGCTGGAACCCAGGAGGCAGAGGTTGCAGTGAGCCGAGATTGCACCATTGCATGATAACAGGGAGACTCCATCTCAAAAAAAAAAAGATGATTATAATTCTAAATTGTTAGAATTATTAGAATACTAATGTAAGTTGAAATTATTTCAGCATCTGGAATATATATCAGTTTTGGTATAACACTAGTGAGAACAATTTGTAGAGTGTTCTGTGTTGACCAGAAATCAAAAGATGATAAAGTGACGATCATATTTGAATAATCTGGATATGTGAATTGTATTTCGTATTCATCTCCTTCTGTTTCTCTATGAAGAGAAAATGGATAGATGACATCTCTGTGTGAAATGAGAAACAAATTTTTTAAGATGATTCTAAAAGAAAGTTGTGAATACAATCATTCATGTAATGTTCCGATACAGGGCTGTGGAGGGGGTGGTGGCTGCCAGTGGTTGCTGTCAGCCACAGGATTGGTTTGTTTGGCCACTGTTTTGTCCATGAGAGATATTGGGCTGTGATGTCTACATGCAGGTGAGTTTCTTAATCTCAGATAAGGAGAGAAACATGAGAACACAGAAGACAGGAAAATTGAAGATCTCACTACATCAATCACATTCCACTGAGGAGAACTTGTCACTGAGAGACCCAGGGATATGCAAGAATAGAGAGGAGTTTTGGGGATATTATCCATGAAAGAACGGATCCAACCTAGTTGACCTCCATGGAAGGAGGGTTTAAATGTTGACAGATAATGCTGGCTTATGTCAGGATTCCCACAGATTTCAGAAAGAGTTTATATTAACAAATGCCATACTTAAAATTGATTACGTTTTTATAATTTATTTTCCCCTGTTGGGCTGCACCACAGAAGAAGGAGGGTCTCAGAATCCTTCCTGATCCTCTATGAGTTCCTGGTGCAGCTCCTGGAGGAAAAGCTTGCATGGGGGACGGAGCCCTCCTCATGTGCAGTCCTGAGGCTGTCATGTCACCTCACTCACCATTGCCCTTCACTGTCTCTTATACACATCTAGATGTGTATAAGAGACAGGTCCTGAGGCTGTCACGTCACCTCACTCACCATTGCCCTTCAGTCACTTCCTGAATACTTATCAGTTAACCTTTCAGAAACTTGTGGTATTTGGCAGTGTCTTTCCCAGGTAAGAAAATAGTACATTCTATTTATTCCTGCAGGCACCTGTCTCTTTAAGGAGCACGGGTTGCAGCTGAGTGCTTGGTAGTGGATAATTAGCGGGAGGAGGTTTGTGTGCATCTTGTCATCTTACAGAGTACACCCCGCACGGGATCCACACTGACAAGCATGCCCTCCACACTGACAAGCATGCCCTTGGGCTTGCTCAGCTGGAGGATGACAGGCATTTTTGTCTGTGAGTGAGTGAGGCTCTCCCGCTGCAAGACCAACAAGGCTCAGGCCTCTGGCTAAAGTGCAGCCAGCAAAGGGTCCAGTGCCCAACCCTGAGAGCTCCTTCCAGGTGGCAAACCACTTTGTAAGGGAAAGTTTTCCTGTCTGGATCCCATTAATTTGTCTGCATTTTCTGCATAAAGGGCTTTATCCAGAAACATCCCCACAAGATTATAGAGTTTCAAATCCAACTGAAGGGCATTATTCATGAAGGCCCTCATGACAAGTCTCCATTGCTCATTAAATGACATTAGTTATGGGATTCACCAGAAGTTTCTGGCCTTTTAGTTGCACAGATCTGCCTCTACAGCAGTGGTCCCCAACCTTTTTGGCACCAGGGAATGGTTTCATGGAAGACAATTTTTCCATGGATGATGGCAGTGGGTGGTTACGGGATGAGTCTGTTTCACCTGCAATCATCAGGCATTAGATTTTCATAGGGAACACTCAACCTAGATCTCTTGCATGCACAGTTCACAATAGAATTCTGCTCATAGGAGAATCTAAGGTGGAGCCCAGGCAGTGATGCTCACCCACCACGCACTTCAGGCTGGGCAGCCTGGTTTCTAACAGGCTGCGGACCACTTTTTCACTGCCTAGCGTTTGGGGACCCCGGCTGTAAATGCTTGGAGATTGTAGAATGTACCCTCTGAGAAGGGGCATAGAAAACTAGGAGTCAGAAGAGCTCTTAAATCAATGCATATTGAATGGATTCTTGAGGAAAGAGTGCAAAGAGGAATATCCCTACTCACTCTCCCTCTACCTGGCATCATCATTCACAGGGACCTACTGGAAGAACTGGGGCACTTCAAGATAGTTTAGGCTTGTTAGACCAGGGATCACCAGAAAAGGAAACGATTGATGTGTTCATGCGGGTTCATCAGTTGCAGGTTATTTATTACTTCAGTGCAGGGTGTTGACCACGGAGAAGTCTGTGAGTGTCTTGGACAGGAGTACATGGGAAATCTGTTTCTTCTACTCAAATTTGCTGTGATCCTAAAAGTGTTTTAAGATAGATTTAATGTAAAAGAAGTGGCAAAGACATTTTGGAAGAAATGTTGGCCACTTCCGAGAAATTATGTTTAGTCTTACCATGTGATCAAGCAATCCTGCTCCAAATGATTTATCCATTTGATTTTAACATTTATGTCCCCACAAAGTCTCCAAGGGAATGTTTGCATCAGCCTGATTGATTGCTGCCTTTCCCACTCCGTAAGTGTTACTTACATGGTGACAGGCGAAAAGACTATTTCCTATATAATTAGAGTGTAGAAATCCTTCTGTTGCTTCTTTTCCTCAATTACTTAACCCATTTTCTAAACACGTTTAAGCCTCATAAATCCTGTCATCTCCTCAGCCCAGCACACCTGCCTCCTCCCTCAGGATTTCTGACACTCTCATGATGTGGATTTTCACACCGCGTCTTTCACACAGTAATACATGGCCGTGTCCTCAGATCTCAGGCTGCTCAGCTCCATTCGGCAGTGTCTGTAGACGTGTCCTTGGTCATGGTGACTCTGCCCTGGAACTTCTGTGCGTATATTGTTTCAACATCTGCAGCATCAACAGGTCCCATCCACTCAAGCCCTTTTCCAGGGGCCTGTCACATCCAGTGCATGTAGTGGAAGGTGAAGGTGTTTCTAGAAGCCTTGCAGGAGACCTTCACTGAGGACCCAGGTTTCCTCACCTCAGCCCCAGACGGCACCAGCTGGACCTGGGACTGGGCACCTGTGAAGAGAACAAAGGAGTGGATAAAATCTCCCTTGACTTTACCCAGTCCCCTCATCAGCCCTGGAACTTAGGATTCTCTTAATCTGTAGATGCTGCCGCCACCAAGAGGAGGATCTTCCAGGTCCAGTCCATGGTGAGGTGCTGTGCTCTGGGGGCTTCTGTAGGGGAGGGATGTTGTTGTTGTG